TCAGGAGACAAGCCAGCTTTGCCCAGAGCGTGTTGCCATCCATGATCCCTCCTGGCCTCTGAGTCCTCTCCCTTCTCCACTCCACCTCCCCTCTCTTCCTCTCAGCCCTGACTTGCTGGCCGGCCTGTGGGTGGGTTCCCTGAGATGGATGGAGTGGTCAGGAGAGGTCAGGTCCCTGCCTGTGATTGCGTCAGTTCTCCGTGGGGAAGTCAGGGTGGGATCCTTCAACCTCCTGGCCCACATTTTTCTTCAGGCACGTGGGTGGGAGTAGTCTGCTTTAGTTCCTAGCAATATCCAAACTAAATTGGATGCTGAAGAAATCAGTCTGGGTTTGTTCCCCTCTTTAAAAGAAAAATTGTTTTAGGAGAGGGGAGGTTATATCTCAAGTGGTAGGGCGCATGCTTAGCATGCATGAGGTCCTGGGTTCAATCCCCAGTACCTCCTCCAAAAATAAATAAACCTAATTACCTCCCCCCTGCCAAAATAAAATAATTAAATAATACAATTTTAAAAAATTGTTTTAAGTGGTGCATGAGTAGAAGTGAGGAGCTAGATCCCCGTTCTTGGGGTGAGGGTGCAGTTCACTTTGAGCCTTTGATTGCTAAAATGAGTGTGAATTAATATTTCCCATAAGCAGCAGCTCCGAGACCTTGTAAGTATCCGCAGTTCACTCCCCGCCCACAAGTCTCAAACTTGGCCAAGTCTGAGAGTGAGACACAATCCACAATTCTGAGAGAAGGTCAGGTTCCCAAATCTCCTAGCTCTTTTATCTCTGCCCCCACCTCCATATCCCTGCGCCCCCACCACCAAGGTTCTCCCAGGTCTTCCCTACTCCCTCCCAACCCCTCCAACCCTAACAATAACCCATCACTGTTATCTCATTTGGTGTTTGCAAAGCACTTTACAGCCATTGTTGTGAGTTTTTCCTCTTATTTGCAAAGTACTTTACAACTATTATTACAAGTCTTTCCTCTGAATGTGGGGGTAACACTGACCCACTTCCAAGAGCTGTGTTCCCACTGCCTTCTAGGTAGTTGGTCTAGTTCCCCGATGCCCAGCCTTGGGCGGGCGGGGCTTTCATAGGTCAAGGGCGTCCGCATCCTGGGGCCCTTCCTCATTAGAAGTCAAGCTTAGAAACTGGCTTCAGGCTGCTGCCCACCAGCCCAGGAAGTTTGACCCAGCATGCTGGTAATGAGATGGTTGTTACCAGGCTCACACCGCCAGGTGTGAGTGCCAGGTGTGATGCCGGTGTGGGGCTCCAGCCTGTCGCCTCTCACTCCCCCAGAGTGGCTGCTAAGCAGCAGGGTTTGACCTTCTTTCTCCCTTTCTTCAGTCCAAGAGGAAAATACATATTTGCATCAGGTGTAAGAGAGAAAAATAGCCCCCCCCCCGCAGTGTCCTGGGCGTTGCTTGAGGTGATCAAAACTTTTTTTGCCTTGTTTTTACTTTTTTATCGGAGTTTTTTTAAAATAGGCAATTATAACATTACAGAATGGTGTCTTTAAAAAAAGAAAAGTCCACACAATTTGATTAGCCTGGTAGAAGCCCCTTCCTGGTGGGCTCAGCGGCCATCACAGGGTAAACACCATTTACACTGGTGTTCTGTGTGTTGTGTTTTTCATTTAACTTGAGAGGTAAGCATTTTTCGCTGCTGTTACATTGTCCGTGTCATAATCATTTACAATTATGTAACGTTTCACCGAGTGGGATGGATGGCCAGATATTCTGGTAGAAAATACGGAAGCTGTCCATTTGGAGGTGGGGGTGGGTTTTAGGGAAACATGGCGTGTCTGAGGGGTGTCCTAGGAAGCATGGCCTTGCCCTCCCCATCCTTCCTTCAGCTGCTGTTGTAACACCCGGCCCTTCAATCTGGGTCAGACTTCTGCACTTACTACCTTAGACAAGAAGTCCCTGCCACTTGAATACCCAGCTCGGTTAAGATGTGTGCCCCAGGTGAACTGAGTAACGTTGCTACCCATGACTGATACTCTGGCCCGGTCTGCCCAAGCAGGTCATTAGCATTCTGAGAGTAAGACTTCACCTAGCTCCTGTGACATCTCTCCAAGTGCTTAAACAGCAGGTGCTCAGTAAATATTTATCGGCGAAAAATACACACTAGCCGACCTCCAGTGCCTTTCCCTGGCCTGCACAGTCAGCTGCTTGACTGCGTAGCCCATTCAGTGCGGCAAGTGAGGAGTTTCTAAGGCAAGCCTTGTGTTGGGGTCTCAAGGCAGTGTAAGGCCGGTACCCAGCAGAGAGACAGGACCGCTAGGGAAGCTCCTGGGGTGAGAGTATGTCCTGGATGTAAATTAAGTGTGGGAGAAAAGGGAATGAACCTCCCCTCCAGAAAAAGACGAATGGATCGTGAGATCTTTGTCTGCGGAGCCTTCTTGTGATGAAAGAAGTTGGTTTGCTTCTCTTTAAAAGGAAGAGAATGTGAATCTTTATTTGTGAGAGTCGCATAGATACCAAAATATTTATGAATGAAATGACAGCATGTATAGATTTTCTTCAAAAAAAAATTGGGATGGGGAAAGTGGGTAGAGGTATGTATCAGGCAGGATTGAGCACCGGTTGTTGGAAGCTGGATGGCTATTAAATAAGAGTTCATTTTGATATTCTGGCCACTTTTAAATATGTTTGAAATTTAATGTGATTTTAAAAAATATAGAATAAGAGGCTTGTGCTCAGTGTGGACTGGAAAGGGGATCTAAAAAGTGCTCCACCATGATTGAGACAAGAGTGCAGTGTGTCAGTTTGTTTTTTTATATAAACATTTTTTATTGAGTTATAGTCATTTTACAATGTTGTCAAATTCCAGTGTAGAGCACAATTTTTCACTTGTACAAGAACACACATACATTCATTGTCACATTCTCTTTGGCTGTGGCAGTGTGTCGGTTTTGAGGCTGCAGTGCCCTCTAGTGTTGATTGCAAGCACCAACAAAATGAGGGCCTTGCAAGCGCCCCTCCTTGGGTCTGAGGTCCTTTTGTGAACTCCTAGGGTATGGGATGAGGGTGACTGCCCCGGACAAGGATGGGGTGGGGTGCAGGTGGCGAGGATGGGTTGAGGGTGGGGTGCCGGTTGTCGCTCCCACCACGCCCCCCACCATGGGTGTAGGGAAACAGGCCGAGAACAGGCGTTGTCAGGTCATGTGTGGCTCTGAAGGCAGGTGACCTTGCTGGAAGGCTCTCAGTGTGACCCAGGTGCAAAAATAGCCTCTCGTGACCAGTGTGTGCTCCGCTCCCTGGCCTGAGCAAACAGCCCCTCACACCTGCACACTGTTGACTCACTGCTACTTGTTTGCAGGTGCAAATGACTGTTTGTGTACCCAGAGTTGAGGGGAGGGCTCCCCACCATCCTCTCCTCCAGCCCGCATTCCCTTAGAGCGGTAGCGGGGCCACAGAGCTAGCAGAATGTGTGACCTTAAACCTCAAGGCTAGGTCCTGCGGACAGGGGGCTAGATCCCCGGAAGGGAGAGCTTTTCCCCTCTCCTCTTAACTCCTGCCTCTGCTGGTAGGACAGACAATCTGGACACCAGCGTGGCTGTACTTAGGGACAGACCATTTAGAAAGAATATTTTAAAATTTCAAAATAGGAAGCAGAATACTTGGACAGACTTCTGGAAGTTCTGAGCCAGGCTTTATGTAGATCGGGGAATAAGGAAACTGGCCCAGCATATCTCAGCAGGGCAACTGGAATGGAGTGTAGTTTGTCAGTTGTCAAATTCTATAGATGTGGACGATAAGGGTGATGGAGGTGCCATGTGAGTGAGTGCAGGAGAGTGACCAGGACAGTCATGATCCTGTGGACATGTCCCACTCTAAGGCCCTGTTACTCATAATATGCACCTGTATTTTATATTCCTGTAAGCAAGAAAAAATGTCAGACTATGACACAGTAGGAGGGAGGGGTAAACTAGGAGTTGGGATTAACATATGCACTGCTGCATATAAAGTAGATATACAGGGAGCTATATTCAATATCCTGTAATAACCTATAATGAAAAAGGATCTGAAAAATAATACATATGTATGTATAACTGAATCACTTTACTGTACACCTGCAACATTGTAAATCAACTGTACTTAAGTGAAAAAAATGAAAGTTAAAAAAAAAGATATGTTGAAATGGGAAAAGTGAATTACAGCCTTTTTGGTAGGAAAGTTTAAAAATTTCAAGAACTTTCAAAAAAGATAGTCCCTTTGGCTCAGTATTTCCTTGGGAGTATCCAAGGAGTAACCAGAAATGCTAAGACTACTGTATAAAATGACAGTATTTTAAAAACAAAAGTCAGAAGCTGGGTAATGACTAAGTGAAATTTCAATGATACTGTTTAAAGGATGGCACAATTCTGTGATGGGACGATACACTGCACTAAAACGAGTTTATGAAGAATTTCTAACATGGGAAAATGCTTTCCTATGAAGTGAAAAAAAACAGGCTCAAAATTATATAGCTTGACCTCAAGTAGGCCAAAATATGTCAACATATAAATACCACAAAGTATATAATAAAACAAAATGTTACATGTGTTGATCTTTGAATTACAGGATTATGTACGGTTTCTATATTTTTTTATACATTTCAGTGCTTTTTAAATTTTCCCAAAGTAAATATTTATTATATTTTCATTCAAAGGGAAATGGAATCTCAATTTTGAAAGGGAAAAAGAGAAAGAAGGTCGGGGCTGAACCCAGTGTTAGGTGAGGACCTCAGGGCTGCAGGCTCTGCAGGAGAGGGAAGCGCTAACTCCAGGCGATGGCGGTCCCTGCCAGACTCCCTTTTCTCACGATGGGGAGAGCCCTCTGTGTCTGGGATGCCGGGAGTACCCTGTCCACCTCCCAAGACAGCCCTCCAAGCTAATTCCCCAGGGGCTGAGGTCAAGGTGAGGAGGAGCCAGGCAGCCCCACATGATCCTCATCCACTCCTTGCAAAGAAAGGGCAGGATTTCTTTGGTCTCCAGATTCTCCAATGTGAGGTTTCTGGGCATAGACAGAGCATTAACCCTCTGTATTGTTTCCCACCCAGTAGATATGTTTGATGACTTCTCGGAAGGCAGAGAGTGTGTCAACTGTGGGGCCATGTCCACCCCACTGTGGCGGCGGGACGGGACGGGACACTATCTGTGCAACGCCTGCGGCCTCTACCACAAGATGAATGGCATCAACCGGCCGCTCATCAAGCCTCAGCGCCGGCTGGTAAGCGCGTACGACCATCCAGCAGCCCTGGTGTGGGTGGGGGGCATCCTTCTTCCCTCTCAGCACCCCACTTCAGGGCTTGGTCTTGGAGGGAAATCCCTGGTTCTGAATTTGGGGCTTCGAGTCATCTTTCGACGAAGGTGCAGGTGAAGAGTTGGGTGGGTGGCAAGTCGTCATTTCTTACACCTCCAGAGTCAGCGCAGCTCCAAGGATGTTCCAGACCAGTTAGTTCAACCCTTCAATTATGCAGAAGTGAAGAGTGAGGCTCAGAAAAGCTCATGACCTTGCTGATGGTCACTTAGACACTGAGTCTGCCCTCAGGCACCAGAGTCTAGACTTCTGCTTCCAGACCCAGCATTGTCTGGTGTGTCTCCAGTGTTCACAGTGGCCCCACGACAAAGGTTAATGCTTCCTTTACACGTATGAAAACAGACTTACCCTGTTTTCAGTTGATCAGTTGATAAAACCCAAGGACCAAGGAGATTAAGTGGTGTGTGCTGGCCCTGCGGCTGGGGGAGAGTTTGGAACCGAGTTTTTGGCTCCTGGTTCCGTGGTCTTTTCTACTATAATTTGATTTTGACCAATACAGACTAGCTTTCACAGTTATCAGGGAGCGAGGAACGGGGGAATGAACCCTGGTGCTTCCCTTTCTGGAGGCCAGTCTTTGATGACACTCAGATACAGTCATTCCTCACCCCCACTCGCCCGGCCCCTGAAGCCCAGGTGAATTCTTCTCTGGGGAGGAGCTTTCCACCCATAGTGCCCATGCTGGCCGGGCTTCTCGTCTGAGGGGAGGATCATGTCCCTGATGCCGCAGTTAAGACCAGGATGCACTGTCTCGGGCACACGGCCCTCAGTCCCCGCACCCAGGAGTGGCCGAGGTTCCGGGCATCCCATGCGGTGGCCAGTCCGCGGTTCTCGCGCCGCCCAGCCCCGCGCTCACTCCCGGTGAAGCAGATGCCCCGCGCCTGCCCTCTCCACGGACCTGAGTGTCTGTTCTCCTGTGTTGCAGTCTGCATCCCGCCGGGTGGGCCTCTCCTGTGCCAACTGCCAGACCACCACCACCACGCTGTGGCGCCGCAACGCCGAGGGCGAGCCGGTGTGCAACGCCTGCGGCCTCTACATGAAGCTCCACGGAGTAAGGGTCCCTGCGGCGCCTGCGCGCCCTCCTCCCCCCGGGGCTCGTCCGCCCTCCTCCCTGCAGAGCAGAGTCCATCCTTTCCTTCTTAACAGATAACTTGGATCTGGAAGGCACCTTACAAACTGCCTTAGTCTGTTGGAGCTGCTGTAACAGAATATCACAGAATGATAAACAACAAAAATTAAGCTCCAGGTTCTAGAGTTTGGAGGACGAGCTCAGGGCCAGCGCGGTCAGGGAGGGCTCCCGTTCCTGGCAGGCTCGCTGTGCCCCCATGTGGGGGAAGGGGCAGAGGTGGCTAGGGGGCCTCCCGGCTCATGACTGAGCACCTTGGAAAGGCCTTACCTCCTGACACCATCACGTTGGAGGTTAGGTTTGTGGACATGTGAATCTTGGGGGGATGCAGACATTCAGACCATAGCAGAGACACTGCTGTGGAGCATCACTTCCATCTTTAACACTATATAAGTCCAGCTCCCATGTGACAGATGAGGAGACTCCAGAATAGCCCATGTGTGTGGGAGTAGGTCAGGTAACAAAGGTAGCAGTTCAGTGGATGAAGGACAGCTTTTAAAGGATGGTTGTGTTGACATAATCCGGAAGACGACCGAAGCTTGGTCTCTGTCTCCTACCAAAGCCAAAAAAAAGCTTGGGTGAATTAAAGATGTGAAATGTAAAACATTCTAAACTAGGGACAATGAAAATATTAGAAGAAAATTTAGAGGGGGTGGATTTATCCAACCTGAGGGATGGGAGGAGGACTTCTAAAGCAAGTTTTCAAAACTCTTAAGCCATAAAAGAAAAGTTAGATTTGTATAACATTTCATGTTAGTATATGGAAAAAGATACCCCCCTCCAAAAAAAAATACCCAAGGATAGTAAAAAACAAAATGCACATAAATGAGCAAACAGGTTAGTTAATATTTCCAGAATACACAGAGCTTCTACAAAGCTCTTTATCTTCTCATTTAGAACAATCTCCATTATGTAGTGCTTCAGAAAAAGGTCAGTGCAGAACATTCGACAAGCATGGCGCCATTTTTATAAAAAAAGAGGACGAACATCATTTATATGTAGCTGCTCATATACTCAAAAAACACCTCTGGATGGATGCAACACACATACATACACATATGCCTGTATGGATACGTACATGTGCACAGGTTTGAGAATTTTTTTAATGCAAGAAACATAACAGGCTGCTACTCCAGTTGCCTCGTGGGAACAAGATTGATGGTAGTGGGGTGGAGGGGTTGTTAAGTTAATCTCATGCATCTTTTCATGTTTTCTTGTTATAATGAGCTAATGAGTGGCTTAAAATATAGTTACAAATACTCATGAGGAAATCCATTGACCTGTGAACAATGTGGGGGATGGGGTGCAGTCAGAAATCCATTTATAAGCTATAGTCAGCCCTTTGTACACACAATTTCCCTATATCTGGGGTTCAGCATATGTGAACTGAACCAACCACGATCAGGTAGTACTGGAGTATTTACTACTGAAAAAAAAAATTCACATATAAGTGGATCCATGTAGTTCAAAACCATGTTGTTCAAGGGTCAACTGGACCCTTCTTTTTGCAAGAAGTATGTATAAGGATGTTTGTTGAATCACCATAATAATGAAAATAGAGGAAAAAAACCTTTGGGAGGAAAATGGTTAAAGAAACTGTTGTTCTTCAATAGGGGAATGATAAACAAAACTGATAGAGGAATATTATGCAGGTATTAAAAAGATTCTATCTGTATAAAATTAGGCATAGAATTACCATATGATACAGCAACCTTATTTCTGGATATATATCCAAAAAGAATTAAAAGCAGATCCCAAACAGATTTTGTATACCAGTGTTTATAGCAGCATTATTTACAACAGCTAAAAGATGGAAGCAATGCATATGTCCATCAATGGATGGATGGAAAAGCAACATGTGGAATATTATTCGGTCTTTAAGAGGAAGGAAATTCTGACACATGGTACAACATGAATGGATGAATCTTGAAGTCCTTATGCCAAGTGGAAGAAGCCAGTCACAAAAGAACACTGTATGACCCCACTTACAGGAGGTCCTAGAGTAGTCAAGTTCCTAGAGACAGAAAGTAGAGTAGTGGTTGCCAGGGGCTGAGGGGAGTGGGAAATGAGGCACAGAGTTCAGTTTTGCAAGATGAAAAGTATTCTAGAGATGGATGGTGGCGATGGTTGCATAGCAATGTGAATATTCTTGACACTACTGAACTGTACACTTAAAAATGGTTAAGATGGTAAATTTATGCTATGTGCACTTTACCACAATTAACAAAAAAGTTTTAAGTTGGGTGGGATTATGAAACATGAGGGCAGGAGTCTTCTGAAGTCAGGATGGTCTTCAAGAAGGCCTGAGTTGAGGAGGGGAGGGTATAACTCAGTGGTAGAGCGTGTACAAGGTCCTGGGTTCAATCCCTGGTACCATCATTTAAAAAATAAGTAACCCTCCGAAAAAGAAGAGGAAGGGTGGAGTGGAGAGGGAAGGGGTGGGGATGCTGTCTCATCTCTTGGTTAACTAGAAGACAGTCCAAGTTCATGTACGCTGCTGTCCTTAACAATTCCGTGTTCACATCTCAGAGGTGGTCACTGCTTTTCCTTCCATATTTGCAGCTGTGACCTTTATTAGTGTCATAGGGGAGACAAGCGTAGACCAGGGGGCTAACAGGGTCGGCTGGCCAGGCCTGAAAGAAACCGGATGTGGGGAAGGCACACTATTTTAAAATACTAGAAAGATGACTGTGCAGGCCTGCTCCCCCACCCTTGTTCAGGGAACTTGAGTGGCTCAGGAGCGGGATGCCCGGCGGTCACTGCTGGTCTGTGAGAAGTCAGATGCCATAAAATACTGCCCATGGACAGGTCCTCTCAGGCCCTGGCCGCCAGGCAGCCTCTCCAGCTCCCACCATCCATGGAAACCACTGCCTGCCCCCGCAGGCTGAGCACAGTGCAGGGCTGCTCCAAGCAGAGGGACTTCACTCTCCACTCGCTGGGACTGTCCCAGACTGTGCCCATTGCTTCGCATAATTATTAACAGTGCCCCCCTTGCAGTTTCACAATGTCCGGGTGTGGCTGATCAGTTAAAGGCTTTGGCACATTTGCTACCTGAAACGCTCATCCCTTGTCTGCTCGACAGCCTCCTACAGCTCAGGTGTCACCTCCTCAGGGAAGGCTTCCTTGAAGTGCCCGTGTGCCACTTTCCCTCCCCCAACCCAGCACAGAGTTCAGTGCTGCTTCTCTGTTCTCCCACATCACCTATGAGTCTGGTTATTTTCTGTTTGTCTTTGCCCATAAACTGTGAACCTCTGGAGGGAAGGAACTGTGTCTTTAAGTCTGTTTCTCCAGGGTCTAGTGAATACTTGGCACTGAATATAGGAGCTCAACATGTATTTTTAGAAGAATTGATTTCTTGCTCAGCAGGAGTTCTGGACCTGATCTACTTAGTCTCAGCCCCAAAGCTTGTAGAGGAATTGCACAGATCTGGCCTCCCCTGTGTACGTGTGCCTTCCCTGTGTGTGTGTGTGTGTGTCTGTGTCTGTAAATTCTGTCGCAGATCATGTACAAATGGAAAACCGTGTATATTGACTTGTGACCCCGTAGGTTCCCAGGCCTCTTGCGATGCGGAAAGAGGGGATTCAAACCAGAAAACGGAAGCCCAAGAACCTTAACAAATCGAAGACACCAGCAGGTGAGGAAGAGACCCACGTGTGGTAACTCAGTAGCCCACAGAGTGTGTGCGAATCGTGTATTCTCAGGCGGGCCAGCCCAGGCTGCCGAGGTATGATGGTGGCGTCATCCATCTCCGGCCACTCAGGACAGGAAAAATGACCCAGTACAAGAGTCTCATCACCATGGAACATACTGGGGACTTTTGAAGCAGGCTTAGCTCAAGTTGTGGCCTGAGTTTTTGCTTGTTGCAAAGATGGCAGTGGGCCAGCTGGACTGGTTGAGGGCCTGAAGGAAAAGGAACATTACTCAGTCCCCCATCTTTGGTGCTGCAGCCACTCAAAGACTTAAGTCCTTTCAGTTCTCTCTGGGATCTAAGAAGACAGGACAAGTCTATCCACTAGTCATGTTCATTACAGATGGATGTGTAAGTCATTGTATAAGTAGCATCACACAGTACTTTGTGCTTTAGAAATCTCCTTGACAAATACCATCTCACTGATCCTTAAAGACCCCAAGGAGACCCCATTTATTATCCTCCTCTTACTAATGAGCAAACTGAGGCTTGGAGATGGGATAACTTAACTGGGGTCAGACAGCTGTGAATGGGTAGATCTGGAATTAAAACCCAAGTTTTTATACTTCAGGGTCCATATTCTGTTCAATATACACTCTGCCTTCTCAGTTTCTAGACTTAAGAATGAGGACTACTTGGGTCCCCTCCCAAGAGCACTCCCTCCTTGATACTGCCACCACTTTAAAGGTTTCCCTGGGCAATGCTGCAGTTGCAGAGAAAATAATGGCAAGTTTATCTTCTGATCTAAGGCATTACAAAGACAGACACATTTCCCTGTTCCACTGCTGAGAAAAAAAAAAGTTCTCCTTTTCCAGATTAAATAGTGGCTCGCCCCTTCTGGCAGTCACGCCTTTTTAGAATTTCCAGTGTCTCGCACCAGGTCCTCAGCCTTCTCCCCTGCTTCTACGTTGTTTAGCGGCACAGCACCTTCTCCTGGGGAACTTCATCTCTTTTTGTATTGGAGTCACAGGGAGAGCAGGGATGGGTTCTGGTGTACAACCCCCTATCTGAAATTCAAAGTCCAGGGAGCTAGATTTGGCAGCAAAACCTAATCGGAACAACCACAGGCTATTTATAGTCTTATTTACCCCACAGGCGAATATTCAGGTGTTTTGCTGTAGAAAGATTAATGTATTTAATTACAGAGTGTTGTCCCAGACCGTGCTGGAGGGTCTTCTACAGTATTAAGTTTTTGCCCTTTTTAAAATCCGAAAGTTTTGAGTCCTGAGACCCTTGTGGCCTCAAGGATCTGGGGATAAGGGGTGGAGAGCCCATCATTTGAAAAAGTTCCCCTGAAATTCTGATAGTTCTGCTTCATTGTGAGAGCTGTTGCCCTGCACTGATGGACGACCCTGCTTCTCTCCCCACCCAACGTAGATAAAGCCATTAGCTCGGATCTACTCTGGCTGTCTCAAAGGACCGCCATCCGTTTGTCCTTGGTCTGGGTGTCCTGACTCTGCCTTGTTCCAGGTCCCTCGGGCAGTGAGAGCCTTCCTCCCACCACCAGTGCTTCCAGCAACTCCAGCAGCGCCGCCACCAGCAGCAGCGAAGAGATGCGTCCCATCAAGACAGAGCCTGGGCTGTCGTCCCACTATGGGCACGGCAGCTCCATGTCCCAGGTACTGCCCATGGGGGAGCACACCCCAATGCCAGGTGGCCAGGCCGGCGCTGGAGCACGAACTCCAGCCAGGCCCTCACCCAAGGTGAGGGTCTGTCTGCACAAGGAAATGTTCCAGCACATCTGATCAAGCTACAGCAATTTGGACACACAACTGTGATACACAAACGTTGAGCAGTTCCTCTGTGCCAGGACCTGTGGAGACAGGGGAGGGGAGTTCAGGGCTGGGACACAGCATGACTACAACCTGAGTCAGACTGCATGCCTTGGGGGAGGCAGACCGGGGGCTTTTTTTGGTCTCCTAAGTGAGGGTGACTTGGCCTTGGCCTTGAGGGTGGTAGATTTTAACAGGAGGAAGGAGAGGAGGAGGTCCTTCCTGGCCTGGGCAAAAGTGTAGAAACTGCAGAGGACAGGGTGGGTGAGTCCAGGATGAGGGGGAGAGGTCACAGGCAAGATGCCATTTTAATGAGGGTGGGCTGCAGGTCCAGCTTCATACGTGTGTCCAGAACATGGGCCAGCAGTACCCGCACATCCCTCTTTCAGATAAGATGGCATCCCTGCCCATCCACCCCGTTCCCTCTGTGGTTCCCCCTGTGTGGGCTCAGGATGCCCCCAAGCTTGGTCACGGTCTCCCATTCCCTGTGATCTCTTGTCTGGCTGTACTTGAGGGAGGCGTGTCCTAATGAGCCTTCACCTGTCAGGGTGAAGGGAAGCCGGTCCCATAGGACCAGGAGAGCCAGGAGCCCCTTCTAAGCAGGGAGGCTGGCTTCTGTTTGAAGGTGGAGGTTGATGGCGATAAGACTGTAGAAAATGTCTCATGTAGCCATCAGAGGCTTCTGAGAAACCAGACCTACTGGGTCAGTGCTCAGAAGGAGCTCACGAGTCACACACACCCCTTGCCCCCACAGCACAGGGGTCAGGAGGACAGAAGTGCAGCTTAGTGCCTTTCCTGCCCTTGTCCTTTGACCCTCTCCTCTCGTCCCCTTTCTGGGGTGGGAGTCAGCCTGGGCACAGCTGTAGGATAGGGCTCCCCTCTCCAGCCCAGACCCCCTCCCAAGCCCCAGGAGGGATTCCACTGACTGCATCTTGTCCTCTTTGCTTTCAGACGTTCTCAGTCAGTGCGATGTCTGGCCACGGGCCCTCCATCCACCCGGTCCTCTCGGCCCTGAAGCTCTCCCCTCAAGGCTACGCATCCTCTGTCAGCCAGTCACCACAGGCCAGCTCCAAGCAGGACCCTTGGAACAGCCTGGCCTTAGCTGACAGTCATGGGGACATAATCACTGCGTAATGTCACCTCCTCCCCTCCTCAGATTCCTGCATGGACTTGGGACTCGGAGGACAGCAGGGATGAGGCTCTGGGCTCCCAGGGGCCAGCCTGCTCTGTCTGGGAATGACTCCAGACAACAACTGGGAAGAAACTTGAAGTCTATGATTTGGTTAGGGGAAGTGGGTGCTGGATTTTCTCGGATACCTTTCCAGGTAGGGGGCTGGAAAGAGCCCAGACTCTGATCCAGAAGAGGCCCCCCTTCACTGGGAGCACACCTCAGACCCTTCCGCGGAGTTGGAGCGTTCCTTCTCCTTTCCTGCCCCGCCCCACCCCGGACGAGAGACTAGATGTCCTTCTCCCCGTCTTTCCACCGCTGTGGCCCGAGACGGTGGTTCTTCCGTGGTGTTCCTTGCACCTGGGACCTGAGGGCAGGTGGAGAGGGCAGGGTGCTGGGGCCCCAGCTCCGGCCTGAATCCGGGCATCTGTCTGAGGTGCGTTTGGATGCGGTGGCCCCTTGGGCGGCTCCTGCCCTTTCCCAACACTCCCCCTCATTCAGCACACCTGCAGATCCAATACTGACTCTTGACTCCAAAAACCCTGGGTGTAGGGCCAGCGTCCCCGGATGCTCCGTGGGGAGACGGAGGAGGGGACAGCTCCGTCCGCCACAGAGTGGCTTTGGCAGACTCTCCACCGGGTAGCCTCTCCTCTCCGCAAGTTCCTTCCATGGCTAAAATCGCTCCTTCTCTCCACCCCACCAAGGCCTCTGAATGAATTTCCCTCTGCTGCTCTGTGATTCAGCTCTGCCTGCAGCTTGAAAGTGTCTCTTCCTCAGCAAAACAGGAGCTCCCCTAAGCCTGACCCCCAGATCCTTCTTACACCCCATCATGCACAGGGGGTGCTGAGTAAGAACAAAAAAGGTTCTGCCAAAGCAAGTTTGACCTGCATTCATCTGAGACTTGAGATCCTTCTGGAGAGGGGTCTGGGGGACACCATCCCCGGGGCTGGGTGCACTGCGGGGGGCGGGGTTTTCCGCTTGGATCTGGCCGAGGTGAACTCGCTGTTCTGCGGGGAAGAGCCTGTTGTCCAAAAAGCAGGCCGAGCCCTTCCACGGGGCAGGCGCAAAGCACCTGCACCTACATCCTTTCTCCAGCAGAAATCTTTTGTCCAGGAGGCAAAGAGCTCAGGATTTCTCACCATAAATACAAACAAACAGTGCAACAGCACTCACGGAAGAATGATGAGAGAGGACGGATGCTGAGGATGGGCCGAGGGCTCTCCCGCTCCCCCTGTTAGGGAATTGGCCGCCTCTCCACGGTGCTGTTCCTGCGGGAGGCACCTGGCTCACGAAGACCAAGACACCGCCTTCTGTGCCCTTGCTGCCACCAGAGAGGAGCTAGCTGGCTTTCCCAAGTGCCACCCCAGCCACCCAGCCCCCACCCCCAAATCCTCCTGGCTGTAGCAGAGAGTATCTTTACACCCAGATTCTGTTTTAATGATCATTTACATCATTGCTTTCTTCCAAGAAAGCCCCCTCATGTACCTTCCCTAACCCACAAACCTGCTAACATTGTCTTAAGGTGAAATGGCTGTAAAATCAGTATTTAACTAATAAATTTATCTGTATTCCTCTTTCCCTTCTCCTCCCTCCGAGGTCTTTCCTGGGAGGTCGATGCTGCACTCTGCAAGGCAGTCCGGAGCCACTGAGGCCCTCTGCCCATCTGCTCATGGGCTGCATCTGAGTCACTTCTCCTTCCATTCCTTTTGGCAGTTGGCCGAGACTTCCTCTGTATGCGATGGGGCTAGTGACAAGGACACGCAGCCCGGCCCTGCTACTGACTAGTGTTCCACCTTGACAGGTAACCTCTAGGTCTGGCTTCCCAGGAGAGGGATGGACCAGCCCTTAACTGAAGTTCCTGTGGCCCCGAAATTGCTGCCCGATGGAGGGGGGCATTTTAGAGCTCCGCTTGGGGACATCAGGGGCTGGCACATTAGGCAGAGCTCCAGGCAGTGATCTCGCCAGCGTGGAGGGTCACACATTCTGCTGTCTTCTCTTTTATGGTTTGGTCCAAACAAGCCCCTAGAGGGGCTGGGGATGCCTCTGAGACCAGTGGGAGAGGTGAAAACTTCTCCTTTGTCTATGTTGCCTTCAACTTCGTAGGCTACAGAATTGTTTAATTATTTCATCTTAAAGGTGGGATGGCGCTGGGAGTGGTCCTGAGGCCTGTGGAAGGGGACCCAGAGGAGCAGATCTGCCCCCATTCAGAACTGTTCGCAGTGGCTTCCTGCCTCTTGGCTGGCTTATCACAAACCCCGGGGTGGGGGTGGGGGGGATGGACTGGTGACCTTTGACCTTCCATAACACCCTTGTTATTTTTGAGTAGGTTAAAAAAAAATGAAAACAACCATTCTTCTATGTAAGATCAGAAAAGACTTCAAATTGGCTGAGCAGTGGCCAAACCTGTGAAACATAGCTACCATCCAGAAGGATGAGTAACAGATAACTCTAGCAACTAAGACTAACAAAGAGAGTCAGAAACAGAAATAAAACCTCCTAGGATTTGTGCTGGCCTTGGGGAATACATGTTTTCTGAGGGTGAAGTCTGCTGAAAACATTTTTGCCTCTTCCCTTTAGGAATGGCTTTCAGATGGAGATAGATAGATATATATATATACACACATACATACACACAATACCAGAAGCTTGGCCTCATTCCTTATATGGTCATAACTTATGCTTCACCCCAGATGCTAAAACCCAGCTTGATTCAGCCTCCCTGCTCACCAGACTTGGTTGTTTTCCCAAATCAGATGTGTCCTCGGAGGAGGTCAAGTTGCTCCCAATCAAGATCCTCAAAAGCACGCAGTTCCCAGATGGTGGGGCAGTGGCTGAAGGAAGGATGGGGAGGTGGGCTAGCAGGGATGGTCTCGTTAGAGCCAATGTGTGGCCGAAGAGGGTGATTGCAGCAGCCAGTGTGCATGTGTCCAGGCTCAGAAATCCCTCACGTCCACTTTGAGGCTCACCTCTTGCTGTGACAAAAATTTTGAAGCACAAGTCAAATCATTTTAACAGTCGGAGAGCATTAATCCTTAATATTTGACTTTTGGAGAGTATCTTTAAACCTAGGTTCTGTTTTAATCATTGTTTACATTGCTTTCTTCCAAGAAAGCCCCCCTCATGCACCTACAGGGGGTCCGTAGTGGCAGACGTAGCTGTGAAAATAAGTTGGTAGTCACTGAACACTCACCAGATGGAGCTGGGCTGGGGGTTCTTTGATGCCACCCCACTCCGAGCCCCCAGAACTTGACGTACTGACCTGGTTCCTGCTGCATGAAAAACAGCCATTTGGAAAGCGGCTTTTGTAGTGGAGATGGTTGGTTTTCTTCCAGTTTTTTAAATCATTTTTTGACATTGGAAATTACTCTTCAAACTGTATCCTTGCCTTGCTTGAAGCTAGAACACAAACTGCCTTCATCCCTTAAGAACACAAATATGTGCCTTCTTGTTACCAAGGACCAGCCTCAAAGCCTCCAGGCTTAGCTGGGCGGGGGAGTCCGTCCTCCCGAGGGCTCCCTGTCCCGGACCTGTGTTTTCCCACAGCCTCCCAGGGGAGCACTGCTGCTCTCTGCCACCATGGCTCCCGTGTGACTTTTTATGTCCCCTCCGGGAGCTGTGGCAGGGACATTGGCAAAAAGATTTCAGTAACAAGAACTAAATAATCTAAGCAAAGATGACATTAAAAAGCACCTAGTTCCCCCAAAGTCCAGTTTTATTTTGGTCAGGGCGTGGCTAGCTCATTCTTCCGGCTGGGAGATTATGGGTTTGGTTTTGCAGAGAGAGGCGACCCCACAGCTGTGCTATGAGTTACCAGGAAGAGCTGGATTATAAAAAACCTGTGAGGCACCCGGTGGTGGCAGGTCCTCCCTGGGGAGATCTTCAGCCTGACCCAGTGAGGGGCTTCTCCTCTTGAGCCAAGGGTGATATGTGAGACCCCTGCCGCCACCAACCCCCCCAACTCCATTCCTTCCCGGCTCTGCAGTGATGCCTTCTGTCCCGCAGCTGTGGTGGCCCTGCTTCACCTGAGAAACTAACATGTGACACCCCCCCCCCCGGTTTATCAGAGGCTTTTAATCAGATGCACTTAAGAGCTCAAATCACTGGGCAGTTGCAGGTTCCCAATCAGTGGCTCTCTGATTGCAAGGAGTTAATTCAGATGAAGCGCAGTACTAGGAAGGGATACCACCGACCCCTCTTACAACGAAGACAGTGTGCTCTCTCGTGCTGCCTCTTCTTGAAGACGGAGTGACTCAGATGAAATGGGTTGTAATTAGAGATGTAAAACATTTAGATTTATCACTCCTCTGTCCTTCTCCTTTAGAACTCATGAAAATAAAAAGCTGAAAATATCCATTATTTCTAGGGTTCTTGATTATCTGAGACTTTTGGGCTGGGCTGGGGACAAATGTGGTTAAGACTGAAATAACAGAATCCTAAATAGCCTCCCCCCCCACCCGCAACCAGGACTCTGTTGAACAAAGTAATGAGTGATGCCATCTAATGTGCTTTTTGATGTAAAGTCATTGCAGTGTTATTCAAAGACTCCCCCAGGCTTTGCTGTAGGGGTGGGCGTTGGAAACACTTTCAGGAAGGCATCCTGTCCCCTCACCCCCACCACATCCTTGCAGATTTCCTTAATGTGGCTTCCAGCCTTATCACAGCCAAAGTTCCCCTTTATACACCCCACCCCTGCCATAGTGCTCATGTTTGAAATTGTCATGTTTATGTAATGATTTGGGCTTTTCTTCATTTTCTATAGATTGAAAACATAACCACATATACATTGCTCTTCAATTTTAAAGAGAACAAAAGGCATAACTGCTAATCTCTGCTAACAAGTACCACCAGATAGTTGATAACACTAAGCCGACTGAATTCCTGTCAAATGCCAAGACACTCGGTTTTGGTTGTTCTGCAATCTTGGTGCGGCTACTAGACAGACGGTTACCTTGGGGCTTTTTGACTAAGAGTCTCTTGCTCTACCAACTGACTAGCTGGGCAATCCTTTCTGACTATTTAAAAATGGCTCATGGGGTGCTACTGGCTGCATCTCTGGGTTCCAGGGGCTCTAGGAAGGGACACTGTCACACACCCACATCTACCCGAGCTTCTGCTTCCTTGAAAAGTGAGGTAGGAGCCCCAAAACAGGATTCTGAGGTCTCAGAATTCTACTCCAGGCTTGGCCACAGCAAACCTTGCCGTTTGGCTGTAAAGTCAAGCAGTCAAAGGGTCCCAGGGCAATTGTCAAGACCCCTGGAGCTGTTCTGGGTCCCCCAGGAGGTCCTGTGCCTAAAATCTAGCCGTTTGCACAAGGACAGGGCTGAAGAATTCCTGGTAGCCCCTTCCTTAGAGAAGGGTATGAGTCTAGGGCCTGTGGGACACAAGCTGCTAAGGACTGGGGGTGGCATCGGTGAGCTTTCTTCCCAGTAGCTGGCTGGAGCCAATGGAATGGGAAGAACCCCGCTATGGAAAAGGATGCCTGGATTGGGAGACCATGCCTGACTCACTCACAGATCATGAGGGGCCTTGGAGATCATCTGGTCCAAACCTTCTTGTCCTACCATCGTTGAGGATACTTGCCCAAGATCACAGAGCTGGAGAGAGGAAGAGGGGCACCTACTGAGCACCTACCCTCTCTGGGGCGCGGAGGTCGGCAAAAATGTCCGGTCCCTGCAGTGAACGCGCTCACCATGTGGGGGCGCCGGTGTTCTCCCTTGTGGCCTCCAGAATGGAACCGCCCGATTGTCAAGCGTTCAATCTGAAATCAGCCCAGAAATTATGCTTTAAAAAAGTATCTACCATGTCCTGAGCACTCCTGCACGTCAGACGCGCTGGTAGTTTTAGATATTCACTTAAAACATTCCTATATCCTCATTATGCATGGCAAGAAGATACAGCCCATGGGTTTTAAATAACTCGCTGAAGCTGCAGAAACCAGTACAGGCAGAACCAGGATTTAACCATGTCTATTTGACTCCAGAATCTGGGCTTTTACCCTCCATCCCTGCCTCTCCTAAAGCGTGGAAACCTAAAAGCTGGAAACCCTGCCCAGCCTGGGTCTAGATCCCACTCCAAGATGAAGACTTTAAACGTCTTTCTAGAAGTTGGGGAGAATCCTTGGTTTCAAATTCTCCAATTTAGACATGATTGAAAGAAGGGCCTAGAACCACTGCAGAATAGGGCTTACCGTCCACAGTCACAGGTCCAAAACGGGGCACCTGGAATAGACCCAGGAGCCTCCCTCTCAGCCCTCCACGCTCCCCTGGTGCCTCGGGGATACATGAACCCCCCCGCAGTGTGGTCCAGGACCCCGAGCTCTTTCACTGGCAATTTGATTCCTCACCCGACCTCACTGCTTTTCTCCTTCACTCCCTTTCTTGCTGTCCTTGAGACAGCTGCATTTTAATCGATGTTCACGTGCATTATAACTTTAACCCTGTTGGAGAAGTCACAGGGCACAAAGGTAGAAGGAGGAATTGGCTGCATGGCCCTTAGAAAACTGGGTGCTGACCCCCGTCGTGCTGAGGCCAGGCTCCTGCGGGCTCTGGGGCCGCCCCCAGTCCAGGGGGCAACTGAAAATAACTAAAACGTAAAACTTACGGAGATACTGCTACAGGCCAGGCCCAGCGCTAAATGAGTTATATGAATCATCTCAGTAAATGCCACCATGGCCCCGTGAGGTAGGCATTTTGCAGATGAGGAAACTGAGGTCCAGAAAGATTAAATTACTTGCTCAGGCTCTGCCTGCAGAGGGATGGGATTTGGACTGAGGTGGTCTGACACAGGAATAGTGTTCTTCGCTGCTGTTCTGTAGAGCTGCTCTTCCGGGAGTCTGCCCTTTTGCAGGCAGATTCCCCAGCTTTATGGCCTTAGAATGGTGACAGCATACATCTGCACCACACTTCACAGTTGATGAGTTTCATATTTAATATCCAGGTTAAACATTCATTCAGTGAATATTTATTAAGTGCCCACCAACTGCCAAACTCTATGCTCCAAGTCCTTGCTGCTCCACCTGTGTCCCTGGACCAGCAGCAGCATCAGTCGGGAGCTTGTTGGAAAGGCAAAATCTTGGGCCCTGCTACACATCTGAGTCAGAATCTGCATTTAAACAAGATTCCCAGGTGACTCGTATGCACATGAGGGTTGGAGAAGTCTTGCTTAATACTATTTCCATAATACCTCCAGGAAATAGATATCCCACTTCATACCTGAACAGATTCAGAGATATTGTGACTTGCTTGCCTTGCCACAGCTAGTAATGAGGCAGTATATGTAAAAAGCTGGGAACAGTGCGTGTGCTCAACGAACCATAGCTATTACTGTAAATGACAGAAGTAAGCTTGTGAACCATGTGGTTTCTCGATAAACCTTTGGCCTCAGGAGAGCTTCTTAGGCACCAGGCACTCATTCCAAGAGGCGAGGCAAAGGCTGTGGCTCTGGCTTCCTTCCCAGCTCAGCCAGAGTCTATAGAATGGGGAGTTAAAGGCTCCAGAAGCTACTGTTGGGGTGTGCCTGGTCCTACAGCAGGAGGTGTCCTGTGGTGGGGATGTTCTCCAGAAGAGGCCAGATTCAGAAACAGGGAGACCAGAAGGCTCTCCGGGGATCCCTCCTGGAAACTCCATGTTCTCAAAGCTCAACCCCTCTGTCTCCAGGGTTCCCCTGTGCTGAGGACCCTCAGTACTGCAGGCCTTCCTCTCCTCTCTCCTGCCCTAGCCCCTGTGTACAGGGCCACCCAGACTGCTCCCTGTGGAACAGCAGGACACAATCTGGGGAGGGACTGGGCCTATCTCCCTGTGCTGGCCAAGTCCTCCCCAGGGCCCTCTCAACCAAGGACCATGGTGCCTGCCACCTGGGACAGTTTCTCTAATACCTGCTCCCGCACTCCCCAAAGTTCCCTGATGACTTCTTGGAAAGTGCTGGCTCCCCATCCTTTCTGGACAATTAACAACAATGGAACCATACTTATTTTAAGAGTCTACTATTTTTTTTTATTCTTTGAAATAAAACTTTAATATACAAATATTACTTTTAAAGCGAAATTTGCTTATGATAAAAATTCAAATAATATTTAAATAATGTAAAGTAAAAAAAAAAAATCCCACCTTCTGAAAACTTCATGAAATTTCTTGAGAATGTTTCCTTTTCACAATTAACCTCCCCAGGATCGGAAGCCCAGCAAAATCAACCAAAAGGCCTGCCTTTGCCTGAACCACCCCAAATTCTCCTATTTTAGCAACTTAATTTTCTGTCTTCTTTATTAACGCTGCCGGGGCAGTCGGCTCCACGCCCCCACTTCGCCCCCGCGCCATCCGCTCACTCTCAGGAACCAGCCCAGCCGTCAGCGACCTCCTTTCGGGAGGAGCCCCCTGTCCTCACCCGCCAAGGGCCAAATCGCTCTCCCCGCTCCCTGCGGAGAGCCTCCCACGTATTTAAGGACCCGGAGCCCCGTCACCCAGCCCGCAGAGGGCGAGCCCCGCCTCCTACGCTCACCGCGGGGGCGGAGCCTCGCGATGCCCCACCCCCGAAGGAGGGGCCTCGCGTCACGCACCCTCGGCCTCCGGGCAGATCCCCGCTCCCCTCGCCCCCGCCAGAGACGCACGCCCCGCGCCCACCCCCGGGGGCGGAGCCCGCGCGGACACCTGGCGCCGGGTCCCCCACGCCCCGAGCGGAGGCCGCGTGCAGGTCCCCGGGGCCCTGCGGCCGGAGGGTCGGCGGGCCTGGAGCCGGTGAGTCCAGCCACGATCCCCTCCCGCGGGTCGCGCGACCTGCGCAGGTGGGGAGGGCGTCCTCGGCGGTGGCGGGCCCCGCCCCCCCGTCGGAAATGCAGAGCTTTCCCAGGCTGTTCCCTCATCACTTTGTTACCGGCCTGAAAACTCGGTTACCGAGCATTTTAGAAGCGTCCCTTACGGAAGCCCGCACCCTGGGTCGAATTTTTC